TGAGATCATAGAAGTATTCCCATTCTTTATTCGGTTCACAATATTGTAGTTCTGATTCTTTAATCATTTGCCAAATGGCTTCAGAACTATACCGAATTTCTTTTTGTTGTTTGAAACAACCAAGACTTTTTCTTTTTGATATTGTCTCTAAGATTCCCTTTTTGTTTTTTTAAACATTCAAACTATGGGATAGTTTGTCAATAATAAAACCAATTTTAAATTGTTCACTTAAACACATACCTCTTGTGATGATCTTTTAAGCAATCTTTTGAAGTTCGTAACATTGAGCCTTCATCGACCTTACATCTTTGCATTAGATACTTGAAGTAGCGGCTAACAACATACTTCTTTGCTCCAACTTCTACGCCATACTTCTTTTTCTGAGTCTCTCAATCTTGTTTTGCAGTATCACATCAACTGTAATTATCATACAGATCATCTGCGAGTCTATTCAAAATATGATTTTGTAGAGATTTTCATTCTCTTTCTATAAGGTGATTTCTTTACTATGCTGTAAATCACCCGCTTTAATCTGTCCAACAGATTCAACTTCAACACTATTAAGTGTTTCTTCTAAATCTCCAGATTTACTATCGTTAGTTTGTTCGATTGTTCCAGAAGGAGCTTCATCTTTTGTTGTCAACATTTGAAGTGACTTCTCTCAAACATGAACGATTTCTCAACGACAATATCCGCAAAAAAAACCAATAATTTCTTCGGTAGCCGTGGCAGTTTGAAACGTCTTAAAATTGTTGATTTTTGGATTTTAAAACATTTGTCATCGAAGAAATTACCAGGTTGAGTCGCGGACTAGGTCGCTCTCTTTAAGACGTTTCACAGTACTGCTAAAAAATTATGCAAAGCAGTCAAACTACCGTGCCGCCTCCAAGATAAAACAACCCAGTTCTATATTGTACAATTACTACTTACATGATAGATAATCGATCTAAAAATACACTCATAGTATCAACACCACTCAAATATGGTACAAAAACAAGTCATAATAATTTCTCAAACAAAAAGAAACTCAAATAATTCCCCAACAAAGAGAAATTCAAATGATTCTCCAAAGAGAATCCAAAAGATTAAACTTGAAAATTTCTCAACTCAAATGAGGAGAAATTAACATAATTCTCTAAAGAGAATTCAAGAAAATACTCAGGAGAAGAAAGATACTCAGAAAATTCAATGAGTAGGAAGAAAGGAGAAGAAGATGGCGCTTCGACAATTCGAGAGACGCAGAGTTATGAGAGTGAGGAAGGAAAAACTAATAGAATAGTTTTTGATGTGATTTAGAATGAAACATATGCACTCCTTATATAGTGAAGTAGGATAGTTAATATTTCTCACATGAGCAATGTGAGACTAAATGGTTTTTTCAACCAAAAAAAATATTCTAACAGCGTAGGACTTGAAATTTTTAAATTCAACATATTAAAACATGGACATGTTCCAACAGATTCGCAATGATCTTTATTATGATAATCAATACAAAAACATCAAATATTCTTGTTGTAAAATGCTTTGATCTAACAACCTGAACCTGCACAGGTCACGTTTAATTACGAGATAAAATTTCACAGTCAAGGGTTGCTAATCATGCAACAAATATACCCCTTAATTTGGAAGTAAACATACAGCGGTGACAATTTGGGACCATCGGTCAGTTATCTCAACAATGATTCCTTAAAATCTTTTAGCAGCCAATCAAAAGGTTCGACTTCTCTCTAAAATAGAAACGGTAAATCACAAACATTTTCAAAATTACCATGCATAGCTACTCAAGAAACGGTCCATCGGAGTGGAAACAAGTAAGAAGCAGGAGACATATGAAGGCCAGGAAGCATGATTGGGAAGCTGGAAGAAGGAAGAACTCCATAAAGGACAATAAAACGATGATGCATTTTTCACAGAAATACTGGAGGATTTTGGTGCTAAGGAAATGTATGCTATCTTCAACGAAAGTGGCAAGATCGATGAAATTATCATTCCTCCGAAAAGAGACAAGAGGGGAAAACGTTTCGGCTTTGTGTGGTTATTCAATGTTGCAGATGAGAGACTGATGGCCATAAAACTTGATAACATTATCATAGGTTCAAGGAAAATACATGCAAATCTACCAATATTTAACCGAGAAAGAGAATATGGAAGAGGCTTGGTCAAAGGAAAAGAGCAGAATGAGCAGGAGACCAAAGGGTTGCAGCGGTAAACACAGAGCTACCTGGGAGGAATAATCGAAGAATACACTGTGGGATTACGGAAAATTATGCCCATGTGGTGAACAACAATCATTCAAAAAGGTCGTGGGGATTTATGGAGCAGGCAAAAAAGATAATGTTTGCACATTTAGAATACAACCTAGAAGATGCATATATGGAGCGATTTCATAAAGTATACGTTGGGGGTAGTGGAGAACCTGGGGGTTACTTATAACATCCAGGAATATTTTAATATGGAAGGTTTTTACGGAGTGAAGGTTACGCCTATGGGGGAAATCTATGTCTTCTTGAGGAAAGCAATGAAGGAGAACTGGCAGCCTTGATTGCTGATGCATCAGACTGGATCAGTCAGTGGTTCCAAGAAATACGTCCATGGCGTCCACAAGACATGGATAATGAAAGACTTCCCTGGTTGAGAGTATTTGGTTTACCTTGTCATGCGTGGAACCCAAAAGTTTTCGGTTTCATGACAAAACCATTAGGGCACTATGTGTGTTTTGATGAAGAAACATCCAAACACAAAAATCTGGATGTGACTAGAGTTCTTATCAGAATAAAGTACTGCTTAGTTTTGAATGAAACTTACAACATTTATATCAATGAAAAAGTATTTATAATCAAGTTTGTTGAGGATGTTCATGGCCCTATGATAATTACGGTGAACATTCATGGAAATAATAAGAAAAAAGGAGAGGAGGATTCTGCGGAAAGCTTGGATGATGATGACAGTGGAGAATAAATAGCTAACAACTCAGAGAGTTATGGGAGGAATCTTTTGTCCAAGAGTACCAATCAAAAACTATAGAGAAAGAGCATTTGAAACGTGCAGAGGTTGAAGAAACATTAAATGCAAAAGTAGGTCTAGAAGCGGCGTACCAAGCAAAATCGGCGGGGACGTGTGAGCAGACTTTAGAAATGATGAATCAGCGTTCAAATTTCATTGTTTTCGAGGAAACTAATAATAAAACTAAGAAGACACTGTTACATGAAGCGTGTGGTAGAGAAGTTAATATAGGGGAATGAGACAAAGGTGTTTTGAATGGTATGGGCCAAAAGGCATGCGGGTGCAGATTATTGGGCCAAAAAGAAAACTAAAGTAAAAAAGGCCCAATTTCTTAAGTCATCCAAAGCCCATAGTAACAAGGGCTCTTTTGATGAAGCGGTGGCTATGGAAAGGATTAACAAACATGATACTTCAGAATATGAGAACCTAGAAGATAATGAAAATCTTTTTGATTTTAATGTATCGAAATCATATTTCACTGTTCTCTACAACCACAAGAACAGAAGAAATTATAATGGAGGATCTGGGATCAGGGGAGACTACAATCCTACCTCTTCAATTAGAGGTGTCGATCCCTCAAGCGATCTATCCTTACATTCTTCATAGGGCTCTACTGCATACAGTAATTCGAAGGGGAAACCAAGCATCCTCAAGGGATGCACAATTCTAAGCAATAGAAGGAGGGAGACAAGGAGAACAAAGTGTGGCATGATATATCCCAATTAGGGATTTCTGGACGTGGGAATGATAAATTGTTTGTGGATGCTATTGGGGAGATGAAGATAAGAGATGAAGAAGGCACGAGGGAGAGGATGGCGAAAAATCAGATGTTGCAATGAATATTATGTCATTCAACATACGTGGGTGTGGAATTTCTTTGAAAAGAAAGAGATTGAAACAGATGATTGATAAAGGTCAGACGGATATGGTGTTCATTCAGGAAACAAAAACTTCAAATGTCAGCGATTCTTTTGTCTCAAGTTTATGGGGCAACGAAATTCTGGAATGGACATCGAAAGACACGATAGGTGCATCTGGGGGGATTATCACAATTTGGAAGAGAGATGTCATTTCCCCAATCTTCAGTTTCAGAAAGGAAGGATCGGTTGGTCTCTGTGCGTTATACAAAGGCCAGGTTTATTATTTCGTAATCATTTATTCATCCTGCATTCTAGAAAACCAGAGAAAATTATGGACAGAGTTGGTGATGTTGAAAAATAAACTTGAGGAGGGTTGGTGGTGTTTAGGCGGGGATTTCAATACTACCAAGGAGAAGAAGGAAAGAATTGGGAAAATTTTGGAACATAGGGCAACATATATAATGGATTTCAATAATTTCATTAAATTGATGGAACTAACAGATTTACCTTCAATTGGAGGAAGATACACTTGGTCTAACAAAGAAGGTAGCGCAAGAAGCAGACTGGATAGATTTTTGCCAATTGGAAGATTGTTGGCCAGATGGTGGGTGAAAAGGATATTTCGGATCATTCACCTATCTGGCTAAAATCTAGTGAGCTCAACTGGGGCCCTAAGCCCTTTAAAGTCAATAGTTGTTGGTTTGAACACAAGGAGTTTTTGCGTTATATGGAGGAGTCGTGGAAAAATATAACTATTGAAGACAAACAAGCTTTTATGTTGAAGGAGAAATTCAAACTTCTCAGGAACATTCTGTGGAAGTGGAATAAGGATATTTTTGGCTGGCTGGATATTAAAGTGAACGAGGCTTCTAGAATTATTAACAACGAAGAATTGATCCCAATTAGTGATGATGATCTCAACAACAACATGCATTTTAATACCAGGAAGTCGACTAAAGATGAGGTTTGGAAACACTTGTACCTAAAAGAAAATCTCTCAAGATAGAAATCTAGACAAAACTGGCTGAGGGAGGGTGATATGAATACAAAATATTTTCATGCGGTAATAAAAGATAGGAGGAGCAGAAATACCATTGTGTCGGTCCAAAATAATGAAGGTAGTAGAATTGAAGATGACTAGGGGATCCACAACGAGATCTTTGGGGTTTTTAGAAATCGCTTTGTGGAACCTATCAAAGAGCGACCTTTATTCAGTGGTTTGCAGGTTAGAGGCATAACTTCAGAAGATAATTCTTTTTTGGTTGCTGAATTCACCCGTGAGGAAATCAGGGCGGCAACGTGGGAGTCAAATGGTGAGAATAGTCCCGGACCCGGTGGGTTCAATTTCAGGTTCCTACAGGAATGTTGGTGTTTCTTAGAGGATGACATCGTTAATTTTGTTTGGGAATTTCATAACTCAGCGATGCTGCCAAAAGTAATTACTGCGTCTTTCTTAGCCTTAATTCCCAAAAATTTCAACCCCCAGGGTCTTAACGAGTATCGACCAATTTGTCTTGTGGGTTTTTTATACAAGATCCTCTCTAAAACATTGGCAAACTGATTAAAGAAGGTATTTCCAGAAATTATTTCTCCTTCTCAATCTGCTTTTGTTCCCGGAAGACAAATTTTGGACGGGGTTCTAGAATTGAATGAAATCATAGATCATGCAACGAAGGAAAAGAGGGAGTGTTTCATTTTCTAGGCGGATTTCCAACAGGCGTATGATTGTGCGAGTTGGGATTTTTTGAGAATTGTATTTCAAAAATTTGGTTTTGTTAGAATTTGGTGTAAGTGGACAGAAACATGTATTTTTAAAAGTTCTATGTCAATTCTCGTCAACGGGAGTCCAACCTCAGACTTCTGGGCGGAAATGGGTTTGGGTGATCCTTTGTTTCCCTTTCTTTTCACTTTGGTGGCGGAAATTTTGGTATGGTTGGTTAACAGAGTGGCTGAGTTGGGATGTTTTAAGGGGTACAATATCAAAGAAAATGTGAATATCAAAATTCAGCAATTTGCAGATGATACGGTTATTGTAGGGAGCGGTTGTTGGAATAACTTAAGGAGCATTAAGGCAATTTTTAGGGGCTTTGAACTCATTTCAGGCTTGAAGGTCAATTTCTTCAAGAGTAAGATAGTTGGGGTCAATTTAAAGGAAGACTTCATGGATAGAGCTTCTCAATTTATGTGTTGCTGTAAGGAGGAGTTACCATTCAAATTTCTAGGCATTTTGGTAGGTTCCAATCCAAGAATGTGTGAGTCTTTGAACCCGATATTGAAAAGTCTCAAGAATAAATTGTCAAGCTGGAAGGCGCGATTTCTATCCATAGGGTGAAGGGTTTCTCTCTTAAATTCGGTACTATTAAGCATTCTAATTTATAATATGTCATTTTATAGAACTCCAGTTAAGGTGATCAAAGAGATTATCCAAATCCAGAGCAGATTCTTATAGAGTGGGAGCTGTTGAATAAGTCAGTTTTAAGTATAGAATTATTTCTATTATTTGTTTTTAATTAATTGTTAGTTACATTTAATTCCTATTATCTTGCACACATTTAGGATGTGCTGTTAGTGTGTGAGTCAGTTTCATATTTAATTCCTATTATCTTGCACACATTTAGGATGTGCTGTTAGTGTGTGAGTCAGTTTCCTAATTTCTAGGCAGTCAGTTGTATTGCTAAGTCTATAAACTTGGCATTTTCAGTTTCTAATAGAAAACGCAGAACATAACTGTTTTTTCTGTGTTAACATCTGGCATCAGAGCTAGGTTTGTAGCAAGAAAAGAGAAGCAGCAGACTTCAATCATGGCAGCAACCACGGATGGCAACTTCGTGCAACCTGCGATTCCAAAATTGAGCGAGCATTATGATCATTGGGTAATGCTGATGGAGAACTTTTTAAGGTCAAAGGAGTATTGGAATCTTATTGATCCAGGGATTCCTCAACATGCTGATGGTGCTGTATTAACGGAGAACGAGAAGAAAACAGTGAACGAGCTTAAACTAAAAGATTTGAAGGTAAAGAATTACCTCTTTCAAGCAATTGATCGATCTGTGCTTGAAACAATTTTAAAGAAGGAGACATTGAAAGAGATATGGGATTCCTTAAAACAGAAATACCAAGGCACTGCTAGAGTGAAGCGAGCACAACTTCAAGCCCTACGACGCGAATGGGAGATTTTACAGATGAAGAATGGAGAATCAGTTAATGACTATTTTGCTCGAACTCTCACTATTGCAAATAAGATGCGAATGTACGGTGAACAAATGTTAGATCTTACCGTTGTCGAAAAGATTCTTCGCTCAATGACCTCGAGGTATGATTATGTAGTGTGTTCTATCGAAGAATCTCATGTTTTGGATTCCATGACTGTAGATGAACTCCAAAGCAGTATGTTGGTACACGAACAACGAATGAATGGACATAATTCACATGAAGAGCAAGTGTTGAAAGTAACTCAAGATGAGACAAATAGTGGTCGTGGCCGTGGAAGAGGTGGCTTTCGGAGTGGATTTGCTCGAGGAAGAGGCAGAGGAGGTAGGCAACGAGTAGATAAGGCAGCAGTGGAATGTTATTACTGTCATGAGTTTGGACATTTTCAGTATGAATGCCCAAAGAAACCACAGGACAGCATTGCAAATTATGCTGAGACCAATGAGGAAGCAGTGTTACTCATGGCACAACTTTCATCAGATGGAAAATCAAATACACAGGACATGTGGTTCATCGATTCAGGATGTAGCAACCACATGACAGGAAGAAAGGATTGGTTTTCCTCCATTGATGAAAGTTTTTCAGATGAAGTGAAATTAGGGAATAACTACGCTCTAAAGGTCGGTGGAAAAGGTATGGTTAAACTTTTGATAAACGGAGTCGTGCATTTTTTAAATGATGTATTTTATGTGTCTGAGCTAAAAAATAATTTATTTAGCGTGGGGCAACTTCTGGAAAGAGGGTTAACGGTTGAAATGAAGCAAAACAAGTGCAGAGTGTTTAAAGAAAATGGCCTTATTTTTTAAACCTTCATGACTACTAATCGTATGTTTGTTATTAGTGTAAAATCCGGAGTCTCCCAATCCTGTTTTCAGGCCAGCTCTACGCCACCAGCTCGAGTATGGCACTCTCGTTATGGTCACTTGAGCTACAGTGGACTAAAAACCTTAATGGAGCACGATATGGTGAAAGGGCTGCCTTCCTTCAAACCAACATCTCAACTTTGTGAACATTGCCTCAAAGGGAAACATCAACGAGATCCTTTTCCACGACAAAGTAATTGGCGAGCATCTCAGTTGCTGCAGTTAATTCACTCTGATATTTGTGGCCCTATCAATCCAACATCCAATGGAAATAAAAGGTACATACTCACTTTCATTGATGACTTAAGTAGGAAAGTATGGGTATATTTTCTTATGGAGAAAGGTGAAACTTTTGGTGTATTTAAAGAGTTTAAAGCACTAGTTGAAAAACAAGTTGGTGCTCCCATTCAAATTTTGCGTACCGATAGAGGGGGAGAGTATCTTTCTAAGGAGTTTGCTGAATTTTGCAGTAAACATGGTATTGAAAGGCAACTCACTGCTTCATACACGCCACAACAAAATGGCGTAGCTGAGAGAAAAAATCAAACTATTATAAATATGGTTCGCAGCGTTTTGGTGGAAAAAGGAGTCCCCAGATCATTTTGGCCGGAAGCTGTAAAATGGGTGATTCATATTTTAAACAGAAGCCCAACTCTTGCTGTCAAGAACGTCACACCAGAGGAAGCATGGAGCGGAATTAAGCCATATGTGTCATATTTTAGAATCTTTGGTAGCATTGGATATGTTCATGTACCTGATCAGAAAAGAAGCAAACTTGATGATAAAAGTATCAAATGTGTGTTGTTGGGTGTAAGTGAGGAGTCTAAGGCCTACAAACTTTATGATCCAATCAAGAAGAAAATTTGGATCAGCAGAGATGTTAAATTTCAGGAGGGTGCTGCCTGGGATTGGGGTGACGCAAAAACAGGCATAACAATTGATACAAATGAGTTGAATCCTTTGGAAGAATCTAGTCAAGAAGATGATGAGATAATCCAAAAAAAATCTAATGATACAGCAACAACTACAAGTGATGCAGCTCCAAACTCACCCTCAAATATGTTGGATTCCACCATTTCAAGAGCTTCAGAAAATTCACCTGAAGGGAGGACTAGAAGACCACCAATATGGATGAAAGATTATGTCACTGGTGATGATTTAACTGAGGAAGATGCAATGAATTTTGCCATGTTTGCAGGTTCAGATCCAGTTACATATAAACAAGCATCAAAAATTCAGCATTGGAGGGATGCAATGGATGCTGAAATTCAAGCAATTCAAAGGAATGATACATGGGAGCTAATTGATCCACCACCAAATTGCAAAGTTGTAGGAGTCAAGTGGATTTTCAAAACTAAGCTGAAGGAGACAGGGGAGATTGACAAATTCAAGGCTAGACTTGTGGCAAAAGGTTACACTCAAGAGGAAGGCATAGATTATAGTGAGATCTTTGCGCCGGTTGCTCGTCTTGAAACCATCAGGACTGTTGTTGCATTGGCAGCTACAAAAAGGTGGGGTATTCATCAACTTGATATTAAATCAGCTTTCTTACATGGAGCAATCAACGAAAACGTCTACCTAGAGCAGCCGCCAGGTTATGTATTTCAAGGATGTGAGCATAAAGTATACAAGCTTAAGAAGGCATTGTATGGCCTTAAGCAAGCTCCTAGAGCCTGGTACAGCAAGCTGGAATCTCATCTTGCAGCAAATGATTTTGTGAAATGTCCACATGAACACACTTTATTTATGAAGAAGAAAGAGAAAGGTGAAATTTTAATTGTGTGTGTTTATGTAGATGATCTTATATATACCGGTAATGATACGTCGATGTTTCAAGAGTTCAAAACTATGATGATGAAAGAATTTGCAATGACTGACTTAGGCAAGATGAGATATTTTTTGGGCATTGAAGTTTTGCAAGGTTGCAATGGTATCTTTGTTGGGCAAAAGAAATATATTAAGGATATATTAAACAAATTTAACATGTCTGATTGTAATCCCGTGAAGAGTCCTATAGTTCCAGGCTGCAAGTTATTAAAAGAAGACAAGGGAGTGAAGGTCGATACGACTCTATTTAAACAACTTGTGGGAAGTCTTATGTACCTTACAGCTACAAGACCAGATATTGCATATTCTGTCAGTTTGATAAGTCGTTTCATGGAAGAGCCAAAGGAGAGTCATTTCATGGCAGCAAAGCGAATTTTAAGATATCTACAAGGCACCCAAAATCTAGGAATTTTCTATAAGGCTGGAGGAAATAAAGAGTTAATTGCCTATACTGACAGTGATTATGCAGGAGACCTTGATGATAGGAAG